ATGCAGAAGCTGTTAAGCATATAGTATTTGACTAGCTACGACTTTTATCTCTGTTGTTACTTTTCCGGATCATTTTGCTTCATTTGATTGTTGGCCTACAAATAGAACCATAAAAATAGAGGAAGGAAGGGACATTAAGAAGTTATTAAGTCCAACCCCCCTCCTCTGAGGCCTGACCAAGTAAACCTAGATCATCCATATGCAAAGAACTCCATAGTAGGCATACTTGGGATAAAAACATCTATTACAAGATTATTGGGATTTAAAACCTTAAAATGCTATGGAAGTAGAACTATGAAGTAGGTTTCTCCTTCTAACAGTAGACAACCATGCTTCCTCTTGTAGATCTGACAAAGGTACAAGATTTATAAAGCATTCTTGTCAGAGCCATCCTTGTCTGTGAAGAGTTTAATGGAGATTTATAGTGTGGATGGAGAATTAAGACATGATTTGATACAACCCTTATTTCTCAATCCAAAGCAGAAACTGCTGAATATTTGAGAAGTTTTGTTTAAACTCATTTCTGTTCCTGCTTCCCTATTCCCCAATAGCCCTGAACTCAGAGGGGGGGCAGCAAAACTGTGGGGCTGTCTCTAGACTGCCTCCCTTTTTCATAAAAGGGATGCAGATTAGACCTATCGCAATTGCAAATGAAGCGGGGATTTAAATCTCCCCCACTTCATTAGCATAAAAATGGCTGCCGCTTTTTTCCGGCTCGGAGCTTTGCCGGAAAAAAGTGCCAGTCTAGATGCGGATCTTTCAGAAAATAAAGCCTTTTCCGAAAAATCCCTTATCCCTCATTTTAAGGATGAGAGAAATGGAAATGGACCAGAAAGAAGGGCAGAGAGTCAAAGACTGTCTCAGATATGTATAAGTGTCTTAAATTCTATATTCTTGGTGAAATCTTAAGGAACATCCTCAATTAAATGTAATTCATTTTAAGAGGGATAAGGGATCTTTCGGAAAAGGCTTTATTTTCTGAAAGATCCGCATCTAGACTGGCACTTTTTTCCGGCAAAGCTCCGAGCCGGAAAAAAGCGGCAGCCATTTTTATGCTAATGAAGTGGGGGAGATTTAAATCCCCGCTTCATTTGCAATTGTGATAGGTCTAATTTGCATCCCTTTTATGAAAAAGGGATGCAGTCTAGACACAGCCTGGGTGTATCACAACAGACTCTGAGTTGTGCAACCAGAATTTTGTTCCTGGTTTTCCTACTGAATCAGTGAGTGATGTTGGGCTAGTCACTTGCATGTGTGTCACAGTTTCCCTTTTCTGTAAAACTGAGATAATGCCCATATAAAATGGAGTTAATTACCCACATTTCTAAACCATTTAGGGTGCATGGGTTAAAATAATTATACAAGGTCTGACTGATGTTATGAAGAGATCATGGCTCAGCAGACCTTCCTAAATCTTGTTCTACTTTGTGTGAGATTTAAAAGAGTAAACAGCTCCAGTGTCCAGCACAGTGATCAGGGAGTTGCAGGCAATGCAATTATTCTATAAATGGGATTTAACCTGGATGTGTTTAGATGAAGATATACATGTGCATTCTGGTACAGCTGGGTATGATCGAAGTTTCCCAGATACCAGCTCTGAGAAAAAGGGTGTTGTGGACAAATGGATGGGAGAAATGGACCAGAAAGAAGGGCAAAGAGTCAAAGACTGTCTCAGATATGTATAAGTGTCTTAACGTCTATATTCTTGGCAAAATCTTAAGGAACATCCTCAATTAAAATGCTTCAGCGGTGCAGGAGCATTGGTGCAGCTGCATCACTACAGTATATCAGTGCAGATGTTACTATGCATAGTTAATCCACCTGTATAAGTAGCAGTGGATATGTCAATAGAGAAATCCTCAATAACACTATCTGAATGGGAATTAGATCAGTATAACTGTGCCACTCAAGGGTGTGGATTTTTCACACCCCAGAGCAACATAGTCATACTGTTGTAACTGTGTAGAGTACACATGGCCTTAGAATCCAGTTGTCTGCCAGCTCTAATTTAGAAACTTGAGCAGAAGAAGCCAGCTACTTATGGTTCTTCTTAAGATAACATCTTTACTGTATTCTTTCAAAGATACAAAGTAGACAGTATTCAAAGGTTGCCCCTCCCCCCATTTACTAGTGGATATTACTGATCCTGATTGTACAGTAAACATCTTCTCTTACTACTCATATTTTACGTGGCTTTAAAATAAATGTTTTAACTACATTCACCTGTAACGGGAGAAAAAAATGTAATTCATTGATAAATATTGTGTCTTTTTTCATTTGTAATTTACCATTATCCCTGGGAATTGTTGGATGTACCCAACTATTCAAAAACCATTTAGTGACTAAGGGGATTTTTGCATAAAATTTTATAATATGCATTTGGTATGTTATGCTAAATCTACAAGTATTGATGCCATAACAAACATTTTTACTTTGCCTCATTCTGAGAAGGAATGATTTTACAAATGCACACATGCTGATGTTTGGTATACATTTACATGCTGACTTCAAATGGAATTTTGCACATACAATAGTACACATCAGCTTTTGGAATCAAAACTTTGTTACTAGCCTTTTGTTGTGCAGATTTCTGTGGGCAACTAGCTATCCTGCTGGCTATTTTTGAAAATCTAGCCTCAAGAGATTTGTCCCTATATGACATGATTCGAACACAGCTTTATATTTGCCTCTATTGGTGAACCTTTTTTCCAGGGAAAATTATAATACTAGGCCTGTACTGGGTTAATAATACTCTGTGTATACTTTTCTTACCCACAGTTGTTGAAAAAGAAAGGAACTTCCACATTTCTTCAGAGACTGGACCGAGGGGGCCCAATCACTATGGCCGCACAGCTCAGGGTTAGTAAATGTTTGCTGGACAAAGGTTTATAAAAAAGTTTTAAGCGCAGAATGAGCTCTACAGGTTACAAAGACCAACAGACACATGTTTTGCCTGAGTAAGCAATTTGTGTATTTAGGTCAAGCCTTTTAAGACAATGATGTGAAGTAAAAAATTTTAAAGATATGCTTTGTGTTATGCAACTCTTTTAATTCTGACAAATGGTTGTGAGAGAATCTTTTGGATTTTATTTCTTTCCACAGAAATCACTCTCAGATATTATTGGGAAGCTTCAGAGCTGCACACCCCATTCTGTTCATTGTATCAAATCCAATAACGATAAGCTGCCAGATACTTTTGATAATTTTTACGTGTCTGCTCAGCTGCAGTATATTGGTGTCCTAGAGATGGTGAAAATCATACGGCATGGTTATCCAGTACGCCTCTCTTTCACTGACTTCTTGTCAAGGTAAATTCTTGTTCATAGAGTCTGATAAAAGCATTTACTTACAGCACAGTGCTTTCTGTCATATTGTATAAGTGCTTGCACTATTATTTTGTTGATGAGCCTTTTGGGTTTTCTTTATAAAAAAATTACTTGAGCTGGCATAGAGTACAGTTCTTTAAATTGAAGGAATCATGCATGTGATGTATAAATCTTATTTATGAATTATTTCTTGAATGGTCAAATGTATAAATGATAGAACCTCTAGTAACATTGATATATCAAATATAACATTAGTGTAGTACCTCCATGTAATTTTTGTTTAAAATTGCTTTAGAGCAGGAAATGTTCACATCACTTTCATCATCTTTTTCTAGTTTGTTATTGGGACACTTGTGAAATCTAGTATTCGTGTCTCAAGTGCTGGTTTATTTTGATGCTTAGTCTGATGAGGGGTTACATATGTTTTTACTTTATAAATTCACCTTTAAGTGTTGCAGTCAGGAAAATATGAGACATTTGAAAAGAGGTGGCAAACAGGAAAGAAGGTGACTGGGCTCAATTACCTTTCTAGGTCCTTTCCAGCTCTAGTATTCTATGATTCTATGAAGAAATGCTCTACCACTTTCGGGGCCAAACAATCACTTTTATCTTCCTTCCTTTTAATTGTTCTTTTCTGTATATTTCTGGGGAGTGGGGTATTACCTTTTCATATACTTCTTTTTAATACTGCTGCAAGATTAAACTGAATGTGTCTGATCAAAAGAAATATAAGAAAAGAAATGCGACATCTAGTCATATATTTAGGTATATTGTTTCTTACTCAAAGAAGGGAACACATTTAAAATAATAATTTTGAAAAGATTATTTTGATTACAGTAACTATTAGTTTGATACTCTGAAGGCTCACAAAAGAGGAGTAAAACAGCCCAACACTACTCTCTTACAGGGAAGTGATACCTGCTAACCTCAAGGCTATCAAACTGCTATGCAGGGAGAGGAAAATGGAGGGATGGGGAGTCCTTACTCTGATCTGGGTGCACAGATTACATGTCACAGGCCCATGATTAATAGTCTTTGATTGCTCTTCTCTGTTACAAGCTGGTCTATTGTATTTAGATTTTTTTTAATAGGAGCAGGAACAGTAAGTTTCTTAGATCACACCTGGCTCTTCATTTCCCTTGCTAAATTGTGTCATGTGTATTTGTCATCATTTGCAAATCACCATTGAAACATCATCAGTGTCCATGGGGAAATACTTACTTCTCTGTTTCTATGGGATTCTTTATTCTGGCTATTTTGCTACTTATCCTGAGACAGATAGCTCAGTTTTTAGCAACAATAGTGGACTGAGGTTCAGTCTGGGATGGTGTTAGACTTTAGGATCAGATCCAGAGCATGCTTATACTATGGAAGGTTTTTTACTGCAGTGCCATTGGATCAGAATGTTGGGAAGGCATCTAGGCCTCTTTCTGCAGCTGGCCTCAGCTTCTTCTGCAATGGGTTGAAAGGTGCATATAACAGATCACAGATGAGTGTTCTTCATGAAGTAGGAGGTAAAAAAATCAACTTGTTATATCTAAGTATGGCACTCTTAATCCAAATTAAATATCCACATACAGGCTAGCACTTAAATAACTGAAGTTTTGAATTACAACCAATATAACTATGTTGGTTCCACCAAGCTGTGAATATGGGAGTAAAGCCATTAGTTCTATATTCGAGTATAGCGTAAGCATCCAATGTGAGAAACAGATAATAAGCTGGAAAGGGGCTTGAGAAATGTTGGAGATTTCTTGGCTGCCACCCCAAAAAGGCAGAGTAAAAAGGTGGTAATGACTAGTAGATAGGCCTAGAAGCAAAAATGTTACGTGGACTCTTGACACTCAACAAGATGTGTCATTTTTAGAGCCCTAAAGGATGAGAGGTTAATGCATCTCTTACCTACGCTCTCAAAGAGAGCTTTCAGTGACTCTTCAATTGGCTGGTTGTAATGAATGTAGTTGTGCGTTCAGCAGCAGTTGTCACCAAAATGAGTAATTCTCCTTTCTCTAAAGCTGAACCTGCTATCTCTACAGGGTTCCCAGCCTTTGACAGTCCAACAACCAAAGGATAATAGTAGTTGATCACAAAGCACTTTACAAAAGAGGCAATTGAGGACAGGATCCCAACTTGACAGTATGTTACACCACTGCTAGACTTTTATTTTATTTTATTTTATTTTATTTTATTTTATTTTATCCCTAGTAATGACCTGGGTGATATGACGAGGATAAATAATTGGTTAAATGGAAAGTTTAGAAAGTGAATGTTTTTCTAAGGACAAATAAATTGATTGATCAGTAAGTAGTGGCTTTTGTGGAAAAGGAATGGTGTAACGGAACAAATGGTATCATGTGAGCAAGAAGATATCATTCAATTTTTCTGGGTTGTATTTAAATTTATGTGTTTTATTTCCCAACTACAACTAGGATCCAGTTTATATGATGAGTTCTTTTGTAATTTATTTAATTGTTTTTAAGGGGGGAGGAGGATTGGCTGAAAAAGTAAATTGTTATGGAAAGTTTGCTCTAAACAAGAACATTGCTTCCTGAACAATGATACTTAAATCATTACCTGTAATACTATTACTTTTTTTTTGGCTAAATCACTTCAGCTTGTGGAATATAGAATTAAAACTTTACAGTTATTCAATAAACTAGTCAATATGGAGATATACCTATCTCATAGAACTGGAAGGGACCTTGAGAGGTCATTGAGTCCAGTCCCCTGCCCTCGTGGCAGGACCAAGTATCATCCCTGACAGATTTGCTCCAGGCTACGTCTAGACTACATCCCTCTATTGGCAGAGGGATGTAAAAGAAGCACTTTGAAATGATTCATTTGAATAATCATGTAATGGTGCTCTTTTGAAATTGAAACTGCAGTCTAGATGCAATTTTTTCAAGCACATTGTGCCGTTTTGAAAGTTCCCGTGAATCTCATTTTTTGAGGGATGTAGTCTAGATGTAGCCTTAATGGCTCTCTTGAGGATTGAACTCATAACCCAGGGCTTAATAGGTCAATGCTCAAATCACAGAGCTATCCCTCCCCCAAACAGCGAGAATCACTGAACTAGATAGAAATCTTCTGGAAGTTCTGGTTAAGTGGAAGTAGTACCAGTTACTGACAATGAATATGTAACAAAAATGTGAATTAATCAGGATGGATTTTATTAAATACTGTGAAAACAGCACAGATATAATCGACAAATGATAAATGTGATTACTGTGGATTTTGCCAACTCTTGCTGCAGTAGTTCTGCTGAAGATGCCTGCAGTGTTGGCTTAGTTTCTAAAGCTTTTCAAGCAGTATGCAGTAAAACAAAAGTGCCTACAATTTATTTAAAACTTTTGAAAATTTATATCCACATCTCCTGCTTTAACCTCTTAAGAATATTTGTATTTTGGGTGAGATTTTGAAATCCTAGCCTCCCATTTTGTGCCTGCGCTTTGAATACAGAATCAATATCATACAGACATCTGAAGTACCTTATTTGTAAGCAAAATCTGATATACAGGAGAAAGCTATAATCTTTGAACTAGTGTATTTTTCTTCTGCAAAGAAAACAAAAAACAATAGAAGGGGAAAAAAAGACTGTTCACATAGCCCTACCAAGCCATTGTACTTTCTAATTTCTGTATTAACCTTGACAATGTACCATACAATCTACAGACAGATGATATCCAGCGAGACTGTCATCAGGACAGTCACCAGTGTCATATGCAACTGCAGAACATTCATGATATCCAAGAACCACTAGTACAGGAATAGAGCCAAAAAGCTTGGAGGCACTAAAAGAGCTCAGGCATATGAATCTAGGCCCTGAACTCTCTGTATCAATTAGTGAAATGGAAGCTGGCTGAGCTTCATGTCATTTACATTGCTTGGTGCCCACTGAAAACCTGTAAAAGCCATTTGGATTATACATTTTTCAAACTAGTGATAATGTTCAAGGATCTATCCAAATAATGAGCCAACTTTATGTTTCTGGCTTATTGAGGCAGAAGGATAGAGCTGTTAAAATATGTTCAGGTAGTAACGTGCTCCTATTTCTTCATTCATTGTTTAAAACAAGTTTAGTATGGCCACATCTTTCTCAGATTATTTTCTAAAATGACATTTTGCAAGTTGGTTTAGAAACTAACAAAGAAAAGGAATTCCCCTGCTTCAAGTACAGTTTTTTGTGGCAGTACTGTCACCTAATACAACCCTAGATGAGCTCCCATTTATGGGCTTTTTCAGGTTGTTGTACTGTGCCCAAATTTTGAGTCCCATGTATTCTTGACTTTCTGGGACTGGTCAAAGTTTAGGTTCAATGTGTCTGTCCCTAGGCCTCTACTCACACATTCCAGGCCCAGACCCAGTGTCTGACAGTCCTTTGGGCAGTAGGAACCCCACTGTCCAAGTGTCTGGGCCCTGAAACTAGTGACTGCATGATTAGACCACTCCACTGAGTCTGTAGAATTTATGGTTTACAGTTCTCCTTCATGAGAACTCCATGATAGCCTAGGCAAGTAACAGATTCTGCAAAGGAATTTTCAATAAAACATGCACTTTGCTCACAGAGAAAAAAAAGAGATTCAAGTCTATAGAAAGAACACCAAGCATACAAATAATAGAAATCATAAATATGTAGAACTGGAAAGGACTTTGATAGGTCAACTAGCCCAATCCTGCACTTAGGCAGGACTATGTATTATCTAGACTATCCTTGAGGGATGTTTGTCTCATCTGTTCCCAAAAACCTCCAATGACAGAGATTCCACAGCCTCTCTAAGGCTATGTCTACACTATGGGGTTTTTCTGGGATACTACTTCTGGCATCCTGGAAAAACTCTGCCGTATCCAGGGAGCACATCTGCTCTTCTGTGTGCTTCTTTTTTTGGGCAGAAGAGCAGATGCACTCTTTCAGAAGCCATGTCTTCCTCCTCCCACAAGGAAGAAGGGCTCTTGCAAAAGAGGAGGCTTTTCCAAAATCTGGT